TTAGACACACCAAATTCTAATCCTGCTCTCCGCTTGATTGAGGCCCATAATCTTTACTAGCAGAGTGAATAGTCAAAGATACAAATGTGCGTAGGTTCAAAGCTGGTCTAATTGTGCTCCGAAACATTAATGATAAGGTACAATTCCTTTCCAACAAAGCATCCAATGAGGGAACGGCCAGATGAATTGTAGGAATTTCGAGGCGAAATGGCCGGAAATTACGATCGAGATCCGTCTACAGGGCACAATCATTGAGTGATCCCATCGTTTTGTCGCGCAAAGTCACAACTGATTCAAGTGCTTTCCTTCTTGAATTCGGGAATTATTCCTCAGGTATCTGTTTTCCGTCGACTAAATGGGGCCCATTTTTGTCCGCCAGTGTTGTACTTACAGTGGAAGCATTGGTAATTCAATATCTTTCAGATATATTGGTGTAGGGTTGTTGGAGAGAGTTTGCATCGGATTTCGCATAAGTGAAGCCTAAAATATTCAAATTTTTTTCGGAAAATCCAATGCAATGGAATTATAATGGGAAAACGTAACATTCCGTACTGACGATTGTTATTTGGGTGGTCGGATAAAGTCGAAGAGAGACATCGGTGGACACAGAACTGTGCGGGAAAATAATACTTCCCGTACTTACAAAACGAAGAAAAGCTGCCTGTAGAATGGGATATTTCGACACTTATTCCTATCTACGAAATTGGTACACGAAGGCTATGTGAAAACCACCAAGGCATCAGCCTGGTGACCATAGCATCTAAGTTGCTTCCTGGCATTATTTTGCTCAGATTGATGGGTTATCGGATGAGACAGATTCGTTAGAATCAGGCTGAGTGTCATTCTGGTCGAGAATGCATCGACCAAAAATTTCTTACGATAAAAATTTTCAGTTGCAAAAAAACATAATTATTTTTATGCTGATATATATATCGATATATAGGGGCTATGTTCCATGCAGTTATGAGGCCTCTTTCATAAACCTAGGCTCCCATATCTGTTTTGTAATAAGAGATATTATGGAAACCTTTTGATTCCGGAGTCATTATCTGCCAACTTAGGTCTCATAAGAAAAATAAGCGTCACTCAAAGTGCTAGGTTTCGAAATGACGTAAATCGTTTAAAAAGAAAGGGATCTGGAGGAACCTAGCTCAACCGTTAGATTGCTCCATTCAATTAATCTCCATTCAGAGTGTAATAACTCACTGAACTAACTCACTACACAAGAGGACATCAGATGTTTATTCAAACACCATAGCCATAACGTTGTGGATGTGACTTATGAGAGACGATGGCTTTTGGGAAGCTTAATAATATGCCGCATTTGGAAAGTAATGCCGCATTAGGATTGTTGCGTCGTATGAATTTTACTGTTTTAGCAATTGACATGTAGCTCAACTACACTTCGGTGAAGACCTCATTAGCCCGTAAGCAGCTACAAATGTGTCTTCCGAGAACTCCAGAAACCAACGAGTGTACATATGCTGCAAACCTGGGGCTTCCGGAAAACGAAGTACATGGAGTGTAATACACTTGTGCGTATAAAATAGTAGCCATTTTTCCATTTTGTTAAATTTGAGATGACCTCAGTAAGATCATCAACATATCAAGCTACATTTGAAGGCCTTTTGATGCAATAAGGATGAATGAAGCAAACAAAAGTCGGTTTGGATGAGAATGTTGCACCTGAAAATTAACGACACAATTTGTGGTTTCCTCTAATTGATTACTTGATTACACGGACTGACGGGTTTTGCATATTTTTAAGACAACTTTACCATGTGTATGTCGTTTACCATATGGTTTTTGGTGTCTGTGCTATGGTTGATAAAGCCTCATGATTGCAGTATCGATTTTAGAGTGTCTATATAGGATGTAGATGTTGGTTTCGAATTCCTAAGCAGTTGTTGAGCAAATATCCAAAACGAAATGTATTATCTCTACAAGAAAATGCTTGCTGCTTAGCTAGTAGGTTTCTAAACGGACAGTTTACTTACCTGAAGCCAAATACCAAAAAGATTAGCGGAATTCAGTTGCTGCACGACAGCCGGAAATTGGCGACAACGAAAAGTCAGAGGCAAACTACTCAGTAGCAGTAATATCTGTTTTCATCAGCATCTTCATACCGATCACGTTTCTAATAGAAACTGAATCGCCTCTGACAAACCAAGCGTTCCTAAGTCTGCGGATAATGTACCCGTTTCTCCTAAAGCATCTAGCTCCCTCAAGCCTACACTATACCTCTCAGAAAAGTCCCAAAGTATAAATGAGAGCGGTGAAGCACACGCAGAGGCTATGTAAAGGCCATTTAAATAAAGGGTAGTGGTCTTATTTATAATAGTAAAAAGACGCTTTGGGAACAAAATGTAGTTGCTATCTGTGATGCGTGTCGCAATCACCAAAGCTAGGTATTTAGCGTTTCTTTGACACAGCCCATCTTGTTCTGACACCACATGCTCTTTTAGCGTAGCCATCTATCGGTGTCCTGCATGCATGCATAGCTATTTAAAGCGCCGTTTATACAACTATCTTCATGTACATTTGCATTTACATTTAGTAATACAGTTCACCTTTTAGCAGTTGGATCCGTTTGCTGCTAATAACCAAAGTGTTCTCACCCATCGCTATCATCCCCGACAGAAGGATTCTTTGCTTGCAGGGAAGGCAGTTTTTGCAAGAATGCATTCTACTATGGCAGAAAACTGTGTCATTTCCGACTTATTTTATTGTGCTGGTTCTGTGTCTACTTTTTTTGTCCCGGAATTTTTCGCGCCTTCAATGGCTTCAATCAGTGAGGAAGCTACTAGAAGCATGTAACAGCCAACCACTGCCATAAATGGCCAAGCTCGGTGCTTTGTATGTCCCAGAAAAACCCTTTCAGAAATGAGCTTCACTGTTGACAATGTTGTGGAATCTAGGCAGTTCGGTTGCGCCGCTTGATTGTTTTTCTGTTTGAAGATCTTAGCACTTGGGTTGTAAACGTTTTATGGTTCTATAGCGCATACTCCATGTACAACCATCTGTATGCGCTCCCATAGTGATATTCCGTTACACCCTGGTTGCCGCTTCTCCGACCATATTAAGTCCGGCTTTTCACGGATCCTATGCGTGTCACTGACAGCTGCTATCTATTCACGATGCATTTGAAATACCTTCCTTATTTTGGGGTGTATAAATTTTGGTAACCGCCACACCATATCATGGTCCATAAGAAAAAAATTTAAATCTTTGTAATTTACGACTCATAAGGTTGCTCGAAAGAACCAAATTGGTTTGCAAATGAGTGTACATTCGCTAATTTCGTGCAATTTGGTTTCAAGTAGAACATAAGGTTGACGGAAACCCGCGGGCTGCGCCTACCTGATGAGCCCCAAGAAGGGCGAAACCGGTCGTGGGCTGTCGATGGATTTCCAGCAACCATATGAGTAGTACATTACAAAGATATACATGTATCGCGATATCTCAAATATCGTAGCGACTGAAACATGAGGCGGCCTGGTGCAGCACATTCAGTTGCCTGAGAACATCATAAATGAGAGATTCAGCTGGGTTCCAGATGAGTCTCTCGAAAGAACCAAATTAGTTTGCAAATGAGTGTATATTCGCTAAAAAAATTTAACCTTTTTATTTTCATTATGAAACTCTGTATATTTATGCATATCGAAGTTGGAACAACTTAAGAATCATTGTTGTCGGACATCTAACACTGCTGAAAGTTATCGGTATTTTAACTGCGTGCTTAATTGTCAACCACAGAAAGTGCCCAGTCGGTTCTTCTGCAATATATGGATCTCCCCGCAGTGGACATTAATCAGACCGCTTGTACTAACATGTGGTTATTTTAGGTTACAAGGAGAAGTCCTACCACACTCTTGAAATGTACGGCAAAACTGACAAATTCCAGTGTATAAGCAAACACAGTCCTCCTTGCGTCACATCTGGGCGGTGACTTCCAAAAACATTCTCCTTTAGAATAAGACTCATACGATAGCGTGATAGTCATATACCTTTGAAACAATCATCAGATCTCCTTGAAGGAATTTATCCTCCTGATTCTTTTTCCACGTTCCCATCACAATGGGAGTTATTAGCTGCGATAGATGCATCAATTATTGTGTTTATAAAGCTGAAGCGCGGTATCAGCCAAAAATTCTATTCCTTTTATAAAACCCGTTGTTTTTTAGTTGTGTGTTTTGGGCCAGACTCCATCTTATTCCACAGCGTTCTGAACTCCACTTTCACCTAATTAGGTCTAAGGATGAATCACTGTGGCACCGAAACCAAACAAAAACCGTTCAGCTGTAACACCCTACCGGGGCCTTGTTGCTATGCCACTCGAAGGAAGCACGAGCGCTAGGATGCTGTCAGGTCACCAAAGCCTAGACAGTGAAAGTTGAGAGAGAGATGTTGATTCCAAACCACGGACCTTCTGGTCAGTAAACTAGCGTCTCAACCGCTGATTCATCTGGCACCGCTGTAACATGAGAGTTCTTATTATTTGCTGTCAAAAAGCAATAATCAAATGATATCCCAAAAGTGGTAGCTGATGTCGGTCAAAAGAAAATGGATGTATTCCTTAAGATCCGAACGCCAATACCTGCACCTTGCTCAATCACTCCTGACCGTTTCTATCAGCGTACCGTGCATAGAGTTGCACCATCTCTGAATTGCTTGGCGAGTAAGTATGGAGGATATCTATGCTCATAATGCTGCAATCTACCTTTTCTTTATCTCAAGCGGACAATACAATCAAGGTTTATGGGTGTCGTGACTTTATAAAACACACTTACTCGCTTTTACAATGAGTCCTTGGGGCCGGGTGAACTTCTATGGTTTTTAGGCACGCAATTACATATTTCGTTTCTAAAAATAAGCAGTCCTATGGTACAAACGAATAAATCCAGTATACACAGCGATACAGCTGTAGGATAAACTGTTGAAATGGCCTTCAGTCGCATACTACTCATGTATTAAAGTCCATTGTGCACAAACTGGCAGACACCTTTACAACGAGAGCCTTTTAGAGGCTCAAAGAGCATTGCGCAATTTCCAGAGGTTCACTGGTATACAGAGTATGCACTGCTTTCAGGCTTCTATAGCTCCGATGCCCTTGTAAGCCACACTGCACCACTGCCTGAGGCTTGGAGGCTTAAATGAAGTGAAGCAATTCATAGCAGAACAGAAAGACTTCCAAGTCAAATACACTAGAAAAGGATATTTATTACGCTCACTTATGACTGTACTGGGATACTGCTACAGCCCAGCAAGGAACCTCCTTCAGTTCGCCGCTGTTTGAAACACAGATTATTCCCTGAGAAGTCAAATCAGTGCATCAGGTCCGCTGTCCGTGGACAAATTGAGGTTCTAAAAGACCGTTTAAAAACGTGAATAAAAAGGAGATACAAGTTAACTTGGGTAGAGTAGCGCGGTGTTGCAGGTTGAAAAAAATGTCAAAAGGTGGGAAAATAGTTTGTACCAACTGACAATGCAAACAAAACCGAAACATACAGCAGAAGCGGCAAGTTTATTTAAGTCATGCAGCCCAAACAAGAACAGGCGACTTGCACACATTAATCTCAAGATATGTGTATGACTTCATGAACTAGTGGCCCATTGGGCGCTCAAACAAACCTGTAAAATTTGACCAAGTTCTGGTCCGTTAGTAATACCTCAGATACAGTCGGACGGACGTGCTGAGCATTTCCCGCGTAGACTCCCTAGTAAAAACTGAGTATGAGCACCGAAGAACTTTTGGTATCCTGTGGCATCTGGCCACCACAAATGCCAACTGTTCTTCGGTATTCAATAAAAGTAATTCTGCTCACTTCACAGACCTCGGTCTTTTTGATGTAGGCCAACTATTGAAGGGCCATTATAGTCCCAGGGCTGTTTCACCCATGATCGGTAGCTGATCGGTAGTGTGACCTCTGCATCCCAGGCTCATGTCTTATTCAGGCTATTATGGAATGATCTCCTGTGCTTATCCGTCCGGTTGTTTTTTCGTAACCACAATATCTCCACAGAAGCTAAACTATTTTGGTCCAAGTTTCGGAATAGATTGTTCAAATAAACATCATCATCATCGGCACCATGACATCAGTGTTCAACACTTCGTAACCATCTCCACAGAACCTAAACTATTTTGGTCCAAGTTTCGGAATAGATTGTTCAAATAAACATCATCATCATCGGCACCATGACATGACTGTTCAACACCGATGCTTCACTGCCGTACAACCATGACTTATTTGAAAGGCTTATTGTAAAGAAAAGAGTAAAGGTGGACAGGGAAGGAACTTAATGCTAGCTTACCACAATCATTCCGAGGTGCTTGCACCTCCAGACATTCACTCAGGCAACCTGGATAGAGACTGACAACAAGAACGCCACTGACATCGGTTGGCAGCCATATCTTATAGTGTCTCCAACCAGGTACAG